TGCAAGCTAGTCAATTGAAAAACTGCTTATGTGCACTTTATTTTTAAAAAAATGATATAAGATAATACTTATGCTCATGACCTCTATGATTTATTTTAATAATTTAGAGCTAGAAATACTGATTTTTAGAATGTATTTTTCGTGAAATAGACTCAATGACTTCAGCCGTAGGGGTAGAGCTACTTTAATGCCAAAAAATACTCATTCCCATAACATCCGTGAAAACACGAAGAGAAAAAAAACCGAGGAGGAAGTACCGAAGACTGAAAAAAATGAGCAAACAATGGCCTCTCGTGGAGAGTGGAGTGGCTCCAAAGCTCAACTCTGTAGCAGTTTACCTGAAGCACACACGACTTTCCAATAATTCATTCTTCACTCCCAAAGCATTGTATCGATGTACCGTTCGCGAAATGAACGATCAGTACGGGCCATTATTGCAGTTCCGGTCTGTGGAGTCTGAAGAGTGACGAGAGGACGGCAGAAGGTGGAAGGGGAGGGGGAGGGTAGAAAGGCACAGGTGAAACACCAACAGAACAGCGGGCGAAAGGGCGAGACACTGCTAGATCTAGTGTACAGAGCCTCTGGGTCTTTCTAGTATAGTGAGCCAGAGAGATATTCCGTGTTTCGAGGAACTTTCAGCTATTTCAGAATTTATCGGTGTTTAAGAGTAGTTCACTGAGGGGCTATTATTTAAGGTAATTCACATATCAGATGCAATTAAAGTTACAATTAAATATGGATATTGTTTGCCTTACGAGAATGTAGACGGAAACTGCAATTCGTAATAAACGTACGTGAGATTAATTGTTATTCTATTAGTGTTCTTCGCTTCCCAATGGAAGGCTTGTTTTTGACCGATTTTTTGATTATCTAATTTTGATTACAAATGGTCTAGAATGTTGAAACGTGCAGAAATTATATTTTTAGGGTCATGTCTGTATGTATGTATCCGACAACTTGGGTTTATGGTGATTAATTTTTCAGTTCAATGTAAATACGGCGAAATTTGTAGATAAAGATCTGAAATTTTGGCTGATTGTAGCTATTATTGAGCCCAACTTCGGCGCGCTGTTTCAGCCCGATCGGTCCAGTTGTTCCTGAGATATAACAACTTGTGTAAATTTCTTTTTTTTTTTTACTATCTCAAAAACTATTGCACCGATTTCAATTTTTTTTTCCAAATACTCATCTCGATGGTCTCTATGCAGGTCAATCAAAATATATAGACTCTTCAATACACAGTTTTGAGATATTGACGTTTTTCCGTTTTTCATGAAAAATCTTGTACGTACGATAACTTGAGAAAAAAAGATGGCAAATTGAAATTTGGTATGGTTCTAGCTCTCATAATACTAAAGGTTGATATTTTGGATGGGCGCAATCGCCCGACCGGTTGCTGAGATATCCAACCTTTTGTGTAAATATATTTCTTCAAATATCTCATGAACTACTTGACGATTCCAATTTTTTTTTAAATACTCGTCTCGGCAGCCACTATATGGATCAATCAAAAAAAAAATATATATATATATATATATATATATATATATATATCCGTACATACAAAGTTTCTGAGATATTCTCGTTTTTACGTTTTTAAAATTTTTTCATTTTTGTAAGCACGATAACTTGAGAAAAGAAAGAGACTAATAACGCAAAAAGTAGCGGTCACATGCCTTCTGTCGCGTAGGCTCAAACCCCTGCTTGTTTCAACTTCTTTTTCACGCAATTTAATTAAAGAGTTTGTTGAGTAAGAATCATTCAATTTTTTTTTATCCTCATTTTACATCGCTTCGACCCGGTTAGGGTATACTGCGATGATGATCAAGACTTTAAAATGGTTAGATCGCACCATTCTACCCGGCTGGGATTTGAATTCGCATGTGAGGCAACGAACTTACCCACTGCGGCAAGCCGCTGGAAAATCGTCTAATTCATAGTGCGGCCAGTACGTAACTATATGGATGGCACTTGGTTACTTTATAATGTAGTTGAATCATTTTATGATCAAAATAATATAATCCTCCAAATAACTCCAACATTGATTGAAATGAAGTCACTATTCGTTGACGCCCACCACTTCCATTCCAATCACCCCATAAACTCCCACCAAACTTCCAATGAAATAAAATCTCATCAAATCCCCTTCCTCATCAGGAGATAAGGGCTCCGATGGGTTTGATATGGCACAAATTGAAATTGAAAGAACAAAAATTATACGACTAATCCCAGAAACAAGAATTATTTTGTGTACCTGAAGAGATCCAGTTTCCAGACGTGCGCCAAGTTGTTTCTCTCTCTTCGATATTCCACATAATTTTTTTATTGATTTCAATTGCATCAATTTCGAAACTATTGGAAGAGCGTCACGCTTGGGGTCTTTTTTATTTGACCACATGTTTTAACATCTGATTTGTTTAAATAAAATCATTCTTGAATCTGATTAAATTATTTTATTGAATAATAAAAAATTGCGTTCTTGGCTAACTTTTTTTTTACAGTAGTTTGTTCAGAAATGGGAAACTCAGAAAAACACTACAACGGAAGCCTAATATAAACTGAGAAAAAAATCGACTGGTTTAATGGGTCGAACCAATGACTTCATTCCCTTTCATCCGTTTATTAGAAAGAAAAATGCAAATTATGGAAGTTTCATTCTGATATCTAAAAAAAACTAAGAAGATGATTCTGCTCAATATCCGATCAATTGGTACTTTCCTCCTCTTGAGAGGGATATTAACCAAAAAGGAATAAGAAGAACATTCGATCAAAATCAAATTACAAGAAGATACATAGATCGCAGAAAAAAATCAAATTCCATCAGTATTCTAGGTAAAATTGTTGAATTTTCAAAGAAAACTCACTTCTTCAATTTTTTTGCAACTTTTATGCGAATAAATAACACGTCGCTGAGGCGATCGTTTTCATAAACTCGTCAGTTCCAAGGTACATAAAGACGTATCGATTGCAAAAAGAAAAAAATGAATAGCTTGATTTATTGAGAATATTTTGTTGGACAAATTTTTGGTCACACACGTACATACGTACACTAGGAGAAAAATCTACATAATATCACAAAAATCATTTCTTGAGCGAAAACCATCGCATACAAATTTGATCAATTTATTGGGAGGTTTCAGACAAAAAATCGGTGCTCTTCGGGCTGAGGAGGAAGTTACTGAATGAAAAGATGATGTCTTATTTCGAAATGAGTTAATATTCCTTCAAAGACAAGAATAGTTTGACAGAAGGGAAAGAAGATATTGCTTCCCTTCGAACTCAATGCGATTGAGCGTAAACGACGGTTAAATATTTTTAATATGTGGAAGTTTTCCTCTGTATAAACTCTATTCATTCAGTATGAAAGTCTCTGATTCATGATTCACCAAAAAACCCGATTTCTTGTGGCAAGAAATTCTCACTTTATCATGAAATGTTCATGTTCAAGTCATGAACACTTCACCAAAATCTGACATTGTTTGACACATTATCCGGAATTCTTATACCCTGAAATTTATCCTCAAGAGATGAGATATTTGATGCAAGAAATTAGTTTTGTGATGTTATGACAATATTTCTCTCAGTGTACGCACACACATACATGACATGTATATATACAGATACATGTCTTCGGAAACGTATCAGGATGCTTCTAGGGGTCATAAAACGTGGAGAAGTCATGAAAATTCAACAAAATAAATAAACAATAAACTTCAATTTTCGGATTCATTGCAATCAATTTCTCCCTTCGGGTGGGGAAGTTGAAAATATTTTATTAAATACAAAAAAACATTATCATCTCCAAACTCCCCCCTACCCGCCTTCCCCCTTCATAAACCGCCCCTTCATAATACTCCATCCACCTCCGAAAGATAAAAACAAGTGGATAATCGCATTTTTTGTATACGGGTACAGTTTACGTTGCTAACACATTAGCAATATGCTTCCGACTGGATTCCCTATTTTTTAAATTTATTACTCTTATTTTTTATTGTTTTGAATAGCGACACCCATATGACCTCATACAGCCCCTATATGAACCTCATATGAACCCATATCACTTCATATAACCCCATATGAACCCATATGACCCTCATATTGCCACATGACCTCCATATGACTCCCGTATAACCCCATGCGATCCTGATATAACCCCCATATGACCCCGTACAACTTTTATATTACCCTATATAACCCATATTCGACCCCCATATGACCTCCATATGACCTAAAGCTTCATACTGCTACTATGCAACTTATTAAATAGTTATGCTGTTTTCATCATCTTTGCACTGCACCGAGAAAGTATCAAAACAATCTTTTGAGCCATGATTTCATTGATATGACTTAATTTTTCCAGTTTATCATGAAAAAAATGAAGAAAAAAAAATCTCACAAATTATATGCTATAGCTCAACAGTGATAGATGCGATCCGCATCATATTCTGATAGAATCAAGAGGCTATCAATACAAATTTTTTAAGCCATGATTCATTTCATTCTGATAACAATTCTTGGACTGAGCGTCGAAAAATCGATTTTTGAAAAAATACCAATATTTCACAAACTCCATGAATATGTAATTCAACTTTAATTGGTGTCGATGAATAGAGCCTATTAACTATATCCATGGAAAAATTCATGAAATTTCATCCAGCTCCTATAAAGAAAATTGCGAAAAAAAATTGAAAAAAATACACACACATACAGACACCATCTAAAAATCGCATATTTAGACTTTTTCGATCATATTTAGTTACCCTGACACAAAAATTTGGAGACTTAGTTTTGAACGGTTACAAAGTCTTCATTCGGTAGCAAAAAATTCAGCTGAATTAGAAGACGTCTTGCCCATTTTTTCCCCCAATACAAAGGGAGAATGCACGTAGAACAGAGGGGCAAAATGACGTTACCCTCCCCACCATCGTAGCAACGCTCGAGCCCACCGCGATCCCCCGAAAGAGTGAAGAGACGGACCAGTAGCAGGAGTATACCACGAACCGGCATCACCGCTAGCGTGTACGAGTGCGCATTGTGCCGAGTCCCCGGTATTCAGTCTTCTCGACGCTTTCAGTCTGCCTGGTTCATAGGTGCACTCGCTCGGACAGTGAATATTTGCAACTCTAAATTGATAAACAAAGAGGGAAAAAAATTGTAGGCCAATTTTTAAAAATTTATAATTGATTCATTAAATTCAATGGAGAATTATTAATTGTGCTGTTGAGTGAAATTAATCAGTTTCGAATTTATGGTGTGACTCAAGTGGGGGTTGAGACACGTTGGTACGTGTGGATCAGTGGACAAGGCCGTATGGAATCACCCCATGGATAATACTATGTCTACTGCGGCTTTTATGCACCGGTGAGTTGTTTGATCAATAATAAATTCATTAAGTTTTATTTTTATATTTAAATGAGTTCACTGGTCTCGTTCTGTCCATGGGGGTATGAGCTAGAAATTAATAGACTTGGCAACTTGAACATTTTCCAATGGATATGATGACCGTTATGGCATGTATGATTAATTAACTCGCCAACGAATTGGTGCAGCTGACGTAGAGGGGTATGTAGAGAGACTATGGCAATTCGAGATCGATAACGGATAAACTGGAGACAGTGGAAGCAATGGGGCGTTTCGATGGGGTTCTGTAGACCATGGGTGTACCACCCCCGCAATGGCGTAGGGAAATAATATTCTGAGGTTTTTTTTCCGAGTCAGGTGTTGGTGATAGCTGGAGCAAGGTTGAGTGAGGAAATCTGGTATTCGATATCGGATATTTGATTTTGAGGCCTCCCAGCGGGGTCTATTGAGCTTCCTGATGTTGGCGACTAACTGTACTGCCCACAAATTATAATTAGATAATAGAGGCTCGCTTGGAACTAATCGCCAGAATTTATGGGCGTATTTTTTTAGGCGAAATTTGAGATTCGGTCGATGACAAATTAACTGTTCATTTATGGGGAATATTCCAGACCTTCATAAATAAGCGGAGAAAACTTTTCTCTTACCTTTTTTTTAGTAAAAAAAGACCTCAGATTGTCCCCGGGAAGATTCACTGAGCGCTTCATTTAATGTTTAATAAGATAGGGAAATTTAATAGTTATTCATTGATAATCATTGTAATCACTTAAATCTGTTTGAAAAATTCGATCGCGATGTTTTTACAATCAGTGATAATTAATTGATCAACCAAAAAATCTTCTAATTTTCTGGAAATTGCCGAGACGAAATTTTTTACATCATCAATTCTCTATCGATGATTAACTCATGATTACTGATAACCAATTTTAGCGTATAATTTCAACGACTAAAAAAGGAATATCGAGATTAACGATGCGACTGTGATATTAGTGAAACCGATGCCGCGCCCACCTCTACAAGTTCCTCGTATCCTTCCGTTACCTTGCCAATATGCACATCTCGTTAAGCTCCAATACCTCAGCCATAAATTCCGGAGTAATTGTATGTACCCCGAAACCCAATGCTCACTACACGGTGTAGGTCGGCTAATCTCGAATAAGTGTAACGTCCCACAAATGCGTGCATGCGAATCGACCAGTTCGCAGCTGATATTGCGAGTATTATCTATTTTTCAGTCTTTTAATTATCACTAATGGTCTGTAATATCGAACTTTCGAACGTGCTTCCAACAAAAAAATCGTTAGTGAACGTGATCCTGCCATACCTGAAGGAAATCAAAACAAACTGGAGCTGATACACAAGAAACTTTGTTTTCTTTAATTGAGAAAAATGCTGTGTTCTGATTACCCCTCTGAAAAAATAAAAAACTATTGATTTTTTCCATCAAATGTTCTCGGTAATTTTTTCATTTTTCATTTTCAATAGATTTATTTATGCTCATAAAACCGAGAATCACCACCGTTTTTCGATTTCATCTTTTGGCACAAAAACTGCGTGATTGAAAAATTGACAAAAATTTGTTTTCCTACTTTCAAATACATTGTTAAAAATTTTCGTCTGAATTTTCCGAGCCAAATTCCGGAAATTTTTACCGTATTCACGTTCCACTGAAATTTTAGGAAATCTTGTCATTGAAAAATCAAATATTCCATTGATTTTCTGTTCAAATGATCTGGAAATCAATAAAATACTTGATTTTTTAGCTTAATTATTCTGTGAAAATTCTGAAAAATTGGGAAAATTCCGGGAAAAATTGAAAATTCATGTCATTTTGTTTTTGAATATTCATGTTCCACTGAGAATTTTCCGGGACAGATTTTAGCCAATCACAGCGCAATATTCGAGGTCACGACACTCTTTTGTTATTAAATTTTTTCGGAAATTGCACACTAGCTTCTGGAAATTGCATCTGACAATTGCATACACTGATAGAACGGTTTAGTTAAGTCGAACCAAACGAGACTTTTTAACTATTACCACGATTCGTTATCTAACAGTTAAGAAGCCTCGTTTGGTGCAACTGAATCGTTCCACCTTTTCTATCAGTGTAGTAGCTCTTCATTTATTTCTGACCAATTGGATGTTTTGCTGGAAGAAGCCCTCGAATTCGTGATCGCAACGTAGATGTGGGAGCCACCAAGTGGTCTCTGATCTAACTACTCTTGGCGGGCAACCAATGAGATCTCTGGATTTTCCGTGATCTCATTGGTTGACACCCATCATTGGTTCAGTCATCAGACTCTCATTGGTTGCCCGCCAAGGGTAGTTAGGATAGAAACCACTTGGTGGCTCCCACATCTACGTTGCGATCACGAATACTGCGCTCCGCTTGACCAAAATCCAGTCCCGGAAACTTCTCCGCCAAATACCCCTCGACCTTTAAAATTAATCGCAATATTTCCTTCAAGCTTCCCTGCAAACAAACAAAAGTGTCAAGTTTTTTTCGTGCTGCGCACTCGGGATTTTTAGCCTGCAAAACTTGACACTTTCATTTGTTTGCAACGAAGCTATCGGGAAATATTCAGCTAGTTTTGAAGGTCTCGGGGTATTATAACTGAAAATTCAATCAAGTTGGGAAATTTCCATCTCACTCCCACTGAAGCCTCATGAATTTCCGTGAATTCTACTTAAAACTTCGAAATTTAATGACCATTTTTTCCTAAATTCGATTCAATGTCACTCGCGTGAGATTTACTATAATATCTTCCATGAAATTTGAAACAATTGTTAACAGTAGATATTGAACACATTGATATTTTTTTGGTCCAGATTTATGGTATTTATTATACCAATGAATTATTAGAATTTGTTGGAAACTTGACTCGCCGAAAATCTCCGTGGTTAATTTCAAAATTTTGCACCTAATCAGATCGAGTTCTTGGTTCACCTGACAACAGTTTCCATTTTACATTCCCATTTCCGATTCATTAAACGATCAAAATAGCATATAAACGAGAAATGAATTATTTTCTCCCAATTTTTTTTCATGAAATGGTAAAATAAACGGGGCGCGGTTTCTCATCCATGCGACCAACTACGTTCGGTGAAGAGCTGCGACCACTTAAAGGGTTAAAATAACTAACCCTTGAAGGGTTATAACTTTGATATTTGAACTGTTAAAATAACCTTAAAGTTTAAAATGATGATCATCGTTATTCAAAGGACTCAACAACAGATGATTCAAATCTGATGTTTTGCAAAATTTCTATTTTGTCATTCCGGCCGTGAGGCAGCGCTTCACGGATGCTCCGCTCCGCTCCGCGTCCGTGAATCTCTGCCTAAGGCCGTCATAACAAAAAATACTGTTCGTCATACGGCCAAAAAAAACTTTTCTAGCGAATATGATTGCAGCCCTCGCCTTCGGCTCGGGCTGCAAACTCATATTCGCTAGAAAAGTTTTTTTGGCCTAGTGACGAAATATACTAATATAATATACTGTGTACTGAGTAGTGAGGCAATTTTCCTGTTTTAGGCCATCATGAATGATGAAAATTATTGATAAGACAAACAAATTTCACTTGAAATCTAAAAAAAGCTACCTGATTTTACGAATTTTTTATCCGTTTATAGAAAACGTCTGGGACAACTAATGTGACCTGTGTTGGCATTTTTAATCGGGTAATATTTTGCGATACAACTGCGCGAAGTTTTACTTTTCCATACGCATGTCTAACTCATACTATTTTATGATACAAGTGAAAAAAGGACACTTTTTCTCAGCCACATCATAAAATATCGTACGATGCATATGAAAAAATGTACTTCCTGACAAGTCTGATTACACTCGTTACACTCGTGTGTAACCCTCACACTCGTCAACAACTAGTTTTTTCACTAAACCGCCCCAGAAAGTGAACTTTTCAGCCAAGTATCACAAAAATGCATATTTTTCATTAGCGCTTGAGTGCGCAAAGCTCTTTAGTGCTCCATGTTAGAAAACACGGTTAGACAATTTTCGAAATTTCATGGAAAATATGGTAGTAATTCTCATGAGAGTGACATTGAATCCGATGTTGGGGAAAGATGGTTATGAAATTTCAAGTTTTAGATACAATTCAAGGAAATTCATGAGTTTTTAGTGGGAGTCAGACGGAAATTTTACTTTTTTTTTTATTTACAATTTGATTGAATTTTTAATGAAACATGAATGTTCAGAAACAAAATGATATGAATTTTCAATTGTTTCCGGACTTTTCCGCATTTTGCCAAATTTTTACGGAATAATTGAACTGAAAAATCAAGTATTTTAGTGATTTTCAGACCATTCGAACAGAAAATCAATGGAATATTTAATCTTTCATGACAAGATTTTCTGAAATTTCAGTGGAAATTAAGCGTGATAAAAATTTGCTGGATTTGTCACGGAAAATTCAGACGAATATTTTTAAAAGTATATCTTACGATGTTGTAAAGAGAAAAGTTGGTTGAAATCATCTATTTCTCGTTTACGAGTAATGTCGAGCCTCCAATGGACACGGAATGGGAATATAAAAGAGAAATAATGGTCAGATAATGTCAGAATTCGATTGAAAATTTTAAAATTCAAAGTTAAAACACGCAAATTTTTAACGAGTCGAGTTTTTCGTAGATTTTAATAATCGATTGATATGACATGACATATATATGTATATATGTATCAAAAAATGTTAATGAATTCGATATGATTGTAAGTAGGGATATCAATTGTTATGAATTTTCTACTACGGTAATTTTAATGTAATGTGAAAAAATAACAAACGGAAAATAGCGAGAATTCACTCGTAGCGTGACGACTTGGGGATTAAGGTGACATTCCTCTGTTTCTCCAGTAACACCACTTGTGCCATTTCATGTCATCACGTTTCCAAACAGGTCAATCCAAGTCTGACAACAGTCTCTTCAATATACTGTTAACAATTTTTGTCTGAAATTTCCGGGTCACTTTTCGGAAATTTTTATCG